GTTAACTCGGGCACTCATCTTTTGACTTTGTGCTCTAAAATGGAATATAATATGTGCCTTTTGACTTTAGAAAATTAGGGAAAGTTTGGCATGTAATGGCAAATTTCCCTTGAACATCCGTGCCTTAAAGGCTTGATGGCAAACTTAGTTTTTATCCCCTCCTGGTTCCCGAGAACATAAATTGGTTTGATTGAGCGACTATAGATTCATATTGGACAACACTCCTTAGCAATCGTGAAAGGAAAGAGAAGAGCGGGATGGCCGCACAAGAAGTTGAGGAAGACGCAAATAAAACTCATCGAAGATCAAGAAATGTCACGAAAGTGCAAATCTCAGCCCATGCCAAAAACTCTTATTGGATCTTTTGTATGTGCTTTTCACAATGTCGTTCGGTTTCAGTCTCAACTTTCATGCTAGGTTTGTGTTTTGTGATGTAACTTTGAGAAAAAAAGCTATACTATTTACATACAACGTTTCCATTTGAGCAGTCACTTGCGTATTATTTCCGTTCAAATGTAACCTATGTTTAATTTTCCCATGTCTAATTTCCGTTCATGCACCTTTAATTTCCTCGTACTGCACTTTAATTTCCCCTTTAATTAAGGCATCACACTGAATTTCCCTGTCATTTCTTGTCCTGCACTTTAATTCCTTGTCGGTTTTTAGTGCTACGCATTAGTTTCCTTTTGATTTCTGGCTCTCAAACTTTTTACTTCAGGCACTTTATTTTCCTTCTCATTTTGATCGATTTCCATCAATTTCTGCTCACACTTTTATCTGCGAAGCCGGCATGCTAGTACTAAATTCAAATATCATATGGCAAAGTTGAGAAAGAAGTGAATCAACTCATCGAGGATCAAGAAATGTCATGAAAGTGCAAAACTCAGCCCATGCCAAAAACACTTATCGGATCTTTTATATGTGCTTTTCACAATGCCGTTCGATTTTAGTTTTAACTTTCATGTTAGGTTCGCGTTTCGTGATGTAACTTGAGAAAAAAAGTTGTACTATTTGTGTATAACGTTTCCATTTGAGCTGTTACTTGCGTACGATTTCAGTTCCAATTTCACTTATGTTTAATTTTCCCATGTCTAATTTCCATTCATGCACCTTTAATTTCCCCTTTAATTTAGGCATCGCACTGAATTTCCTTGTCATTTCTTGTCCCGCACTTTAATTTCTTGTCGGTTTGTAGTGCTACACATTAGTTTCTTTTTGATTTCCTGCTCTCAAACTTTAACTTTAGGCACTTTATTTTCGTTCTCATTTTGATCGATTTCCATCAATTTTTGCTCCCACTTTTATCTCCGAAGCCGGCATGCTCGTACTAAATTCAAATATCAGATGGCAAAGTAAAAGATTGATGCTTAATTTTCAACAAAATGACTGCTAGTACTAAACTCAAACGCTAGTAAGATTAACTTTTTCAATATGACATTGTCCTCGTACATAATTTAGAAAAATGAAAATGTGGGAAATGCTTCTATTGGCAGCTCTGATTAATCTAAAGCATAATTAGCAGCTAGGGTTTACCTTTAAAAAAATTACTGCTAATTAAAAAACAGGGAGTTAATGCTAAAACTATGATTGGCGCCACAATCTAGCATGAGTTAGGCTTAGCCTTTAGACTCATGGAAAAAATTTCAGGAAACTGCTAATAATTGGGCATTCAATTCGATCTACCTATAAAATCCATGTTGTTATAGTTTTGCAATGAATTATCACGATAATAATGGTGAAATAATTTGACATTAATTGCTCTTACGGACACTGATTTTCTGAGTCCTAGGAGTGTCTCCATGGCTACATCCTACTCAAAAATTGAAATTATTCAAACTCTGTACCACGTTCCAAATGTGGCCGCGGGCCGAGTCGCAATGTTGCAAAAATGCGCACCACAAATCCGGAATTAATTGTCATTTTGATTATTGGATGGCGTATTAATTAAATGTCCAGACATGATTTTTTCGGATTTGAATGATGCAGCAAAAAGGCCGGTCGATTGAATGAGTTCATGTCTCTTCCTGCGAAGAAGAGGATATCACAGAAAAGGGTGGGACATTAATTAGGAGGATGAGGGAAAGCAAGAGAAATTATTCGGGCGTATCTAGTACAAATACTAACTGGACATTGACCGGTAAATCCGGTGAGACCCATCGTTTTTAATTATTCGTATTTACTGCAATACATCATGTACTATGCTCATGCAATAATTTCTTGACAAACATAAAGATAACAGAACCCTTTGTGATTTTGTAGCTCAATTCGACAAAAGACTCGTTAGGGTTCAAAAGTAGTGGCGACTATCGACTCCTACTATTAATGGTGTCTCCTCTCCTACTAATGTGTAAATCTTTACGTATTGATTAACTCTCACATTAAGCGCTTCAACTAGTAATAAATGACGTTTTCCGTACAAAGATTAAGGGAGAATGATGTAAAGCACATGGGAGCGATGTGAGTTATTTGACTCAAGTGGCTTGTTTGTATCTCGCATTGGAATTTCTCCTCAACTTTAAAGTACACCTTCTTTAATAAAGATGGTGTACCAAGGGAGAAGCTCCAAATCATCCATCTTTTATTTTATTTTTTTGTCATTTAAAAATAATAATTTATCTTTCCTCTTGTTCCCAAGCAAACATTGGATTTCATATACCTTATTTGTCCCCGCCTTTCTCCCTCTTTTATTTCATTACTTTCTAAATCTAGTTAACAGGAAAACTTATTAATCTTCTAACTTATCTTTTTGAAATATAGAAGCTTGTTTTAATTTCTATTCTTTTCTTTTTTCAAATTACTCCATCGATGTACCATTTATGAGATTATTGTACGAAAATCGAGTTTAGGTTGAGAAATTGGAATATCATGATATTATTGTCGGGCGGTGCGATTGATCCTAGCATTAATGATCAACTCATATCGAGAGAAAAGATCCCTTTCTCCTTGAAATTTTTTTTCGAAACATCTATCCATCTGATTGAAGATTCATAGGGTAATTCAAGATCCAAGTACTTACTAAAAATAGGAACAACTAAAAAAATCTATTTCATGGATATAACTAGTTAGGTTATGGACCAAGAAAGGCCTTTTTAATCTTTGAGACATGTTAGAATTAAAGAAGGTCGTGCACGAGAAATCAAATCATATGTAAATGATCGAATCCTCAGACGCCCCGAATTGCCACGAGGTGTTGGGAAATGGTTGAAGTAGTTGAATACGAGGATCGCTATTTCAAATAGCCCTTGGTAAATTTACCAAAGAAATACGATTAAATTTCATAAAAGATAATTTTCTTTTAAAGAAAAATAACAGTGTTGAAATAATTACTTATTGTAGGTTATCTCGAAAATGGAAGTACCATGTCCTTTCAGCCAATTTACCTAGTCACCTTGCGGAAGTCATTCCAGGTGCATGATTTTATGATAAACTATTTTAGGTTTTCATTAAATTGATTTATATGAATCATAAACTCAACAATACAATTTAAGAAAACAAAAGCGCGGTAAAAAATAAGAAAGGAACTTACATTGTGCTTGGTTCAAAGGAATGAGTATTCTTTTGCACAATTGTCTGGTTGGGTTTTTTTTTTTTTTTAGAAATGGAATGGCGTTCCAACAAAGAATGCCCATTCCAGTTGTAGAGGATTTGAAGGAATCACGATTCAATTCCAATTTTGCACCGACATTTTATAAAAAAGAGCGATAATCAATTAATAAAAAGCTAAAATTGATGAAATTCTGCTAGTACCATTACTAAATTTGAATAGCAAAATAATAATGATCATGATTGATTATTGTATTTATATTTTTAAAACTGTTTTTATAATTAAAGATTAAGAAAGCATATTTATTGAATAATTAATTAAAATGTAAAATTAATTGATTAATTAGTCGTTTGATAACTTAATTAAATATAATTTATTTCAGTAATAAAATATATTTGGTATCATGATTTATTATTATATCAAAACTATTTGACTAGCCTTATACTGCAACATAATAGGAATATGTTTAGCAGTTTAATTAAAAAAGTTCTTATGGGTATTGGATTGAATTGGTTGATTATATTTATAGTCATCGATATTGATAATTTATTTAGTAATTTTGAAAATTAACTGCAATAATTATTCTAATATAAATAGAGCTTTTAAGAAATACTTAATATCAATTGTCATACTATAAATTAGTTTTTATGATTTAGCCCAATATTGGGTATATTATATTATTAGTAAATTAGGGTTATATCGTATAGTAACAATGCTATCGTTCGAAGAATTGCGAGCTTATCTAAATCTACTGCATCTTGTTCGCCTCATTCCTGTAATATTTCTTTTATAACCAAACGGAAGAATTCTCGTTCCATCCCATTCCATTTCCACAAACTATCGAACAAGAAAATCAGAGTTTCGATTTCATTCCATTCCATCGCTCAATTCCATTCGGTCACGCCAAACGCAACATAAAAAGCGACCTATCAGGCGGAAACCAACTCTCCCCACAAAAAGTGAGAAAAATAATGATCCTTGCTCACAAAAAAAAACACACTCTCACAAAGAAAAGTTCAGAAGAGGAAAATAAAAAGAAATAAACACAATTTTCATCTTCCTTTCTTGCCCCTTGATAGTGAAAGTCACAAATATCTCACCTCCCCTCAAAACTGCATTACATCTGTAAAATGTACCCCCTCTCACTCTCACCCAGAAAAAAAAAAAAACAAAAAAAATCATTATCCAAATACAAAAAATAGAATAAAATAAAAACAAAAATAAACTAATCCAATTAAAAAGAAAATGGCACAATATAATCAACTCTCTCTGGTCTCTCTGCCTCTGCCCTTCACTGTCTCCCCCCCACTCCCTCCCAAACCACCTCCTCCTCCTCCTCCTCCTTCCCCCCCTACCTTTCTCTCTCTAGAACCAGAGGACAAGGGTAGAGCTTTCTCTCTCTAGAACCATAGGACCAGAGGATAGAGAGAGAGAGAGAGGGGCAGAGAGAGACAACCTTGGAGTTCTTTGCACAGATAGACAGTGAACAGCCCAAAATGCGCATCCTCCTCCTGCTCCTGCTCCTCCTCCACCTCCACCGCCACCCCTTCCTCTCCCTCTCCGCCGCCGTCCCCGAGTACCGCGCCCTCCTCTCCCTCAGGTCCGCCATCACCGGCGACCCCGCCTCCTCCTCCCTCGCCTCCTGGAACGCCTCCACCAGCCACTGCACGTGGCCGGGCGTCGCCTGCGACCCCCGCCGCCGCGTCGTCGCCCTCGACATCTCCGGCCTCAACCTCTCCGGCACCCTCTCCGGCGACGTCGCCCACCTCCGCCTCCTCTCCAACCTGTCCGTCGCCGCCAACCAGCTCTCCGGCCCCGTCCCCTCGGAGCTCTCCGCCCTCTCCGGCCTCCGCCTCCTCAACCTCTCCAACAATGTCTTCAACGGCACGTTCCCCAGGGAGCTCTCCGCTCTCAAGCGGCTCCAGGTCCTGGACCTCTACAACAACAACATGACCGGCGAGCTGCCCCTCACCGTCGTCGACTTGCCCAGCCTCCGCCACCTCCACCTCGGCGGCAACTTCTTCACCGGCAAAATCCCGCCGGAGTACGGCCGCTGGGAGTCCCTGGAGTACCTGGCCGTCTCCGGCAACGAGCTCGAGGGCGCCGTGCCGCCGGAGATCGGGAACCTGACCAGCCTCCGGGAGCTCTACATCGGGTACTACAACAGCTACGACGGCGGCCTGCCTCCGGAGATCGGGAACTTGACGGAGCTGGTCCGGCTCGACTCCGCCAGCTGCGGGCTCTCCGGCGAAATCCCGCCGGAGATCGGCAGGTTGCAGAAGCTCGACACTCTGTTCCTCCAGGTGAACTCGCTCTCTGGGTCTCTGACCCCGGAGGTCGGCCAGCTGAAGAGCTTGAAGTCCATGGACTTGTCGAACAACATGCTGTCCGGCGAAATCCCCGCCTCCTTCGCCGAGCTCAAGAACCTGACCCTCCTGAACCTGTTCCGGAACAAGCTCCACGGCTCTATACCCGACTTCGTCGGCGAATTGCCGCAGCTGCAGGTGCTGCAGCTGTGGGAGAACAACTTCACCGGAAGCATCCCGGAGAAGCTCGGAGGGAACGGGAATTTCCAGCTTCTTGATCTCTCCTCCAACAAACTGACCGGCACTCTACCTCCTGATATGTGCAAGGGCAATAAGCTCCACACATTGATCACGCTCGGAAATTTCTTGTTCGGCCCGATCCCGGAATCGCTCGGCGAGTGCCAGTCTCTGAGCAGGATCCGAATGGGCGAGAATTTCCTCAACGGGTCGATCCCAAAGGGGCTCTTCGGGCTCCCCGTGCTCTCTCAGGTCGAATTGCAGGACAATCTTCTCGAGGGCGAGTTCCCTGTGACCGATGGCTCTGTTGCTGCGAAACTTGGTCAGGTTAGTCTCTCCAATAACCAGTTATCTGGGTCTCTCCCGCCGAGCATTGGCAACTTCTCTGGAGTCCAGAAGCTCCTCTTGGACGGCAACAAGTTCTCGGGCCCGATCCCGGCCGAGATCGGGCGGTTGCAGCAGCTCTCCAAGATGGACTTCAGCCACAATAAGTTCTCGGGCCCAGTCACCCCGGAGATCAGCCGGTGCAAGCTCTTGACTTTCGTCGATCTCAGCCGGAACGACCTCTCGGGCGAGATTCCGAACGAGATCACCGGAATGAGGATACTGAACTACTTGAACCTGTCGAGGAATCATCTCGTTGGCAATATCCCTACCTCAATATCCACAATGCAGAGCTTGACATCCGTCGATTTTTCATATAACAATCTCTCTGGTCTGGTTCCGGGCACCGGCCAGTTCAGCTATTTCAATTACACATCGTTTTTGGGCAATCCTGATCTGTGTGGTCCTTACTTGGGTCCCTGCAAGGACGGGGTAGGGAATGGGACTCATCCAGCGCACGCCAAGGGTCCGCTCTCTGCCTCCCTGAAGCTACTGCTTGTGATTGGGTTGCTCGTCTGCTCGATCGTGTTCGCGATCGCCGCGATCATCAAAGCCCGGTCGCTGAAGAAGGCGGGCGAGTCCCGAGCGTGGAAACTGACTGCTTTCCAGCGCCTGGACTTCACCTGTGATGACATCCTGGATTGCCTGAAGGAGGACAACATCATCGGGAAGGGCGGGGCCGGCATCGTGTACAAAGGGGCGATGCCCAACGGCGACCAGGTCGCCGTGAAGAGACTCCCCGCCATGAGTCGGGGGTCATCCCACGACCACGGGTTCAACGCAGAGATCCAGACCCTCGGGCGGATCCGGCACCGCCACATCGTGAGGCTGCTCGGCTTCTGCTCGAACCACGAGACGAATCTGCTGGTCTACGAGTACATGCCCAACGGGAGCCTCGGCGAGGTCCTGCACGGCAAGAAAGGCGGGCACTTGCACTGGGAGACGCGGTACAAGATCGCCGTGGAGTCGGCCAAGGGGCTGTGCTATCTCCACCACGATTGCTCGCCGCTGATCGTCCACCGGGACGTGAAGTCGAATAACATCCTCCTCGACCTGAATAACGAAGCTCACGTCGCCGATTTCGGGCTCGCGAAGTTCCTACAGGACTCGGGTACATCGGAGTGCATGTCGGCTATTGCCGGGTCATATGGGTACATAGCACCAGGTGCGTTTTCGATCTTGAAATTTAGTCACAAATTGTTATGATAGATGTTTTGTTTGATTTGTGAAATGAAAGTACTCGATCTGTACTAGAGGCTATGATTCACTTGGTCAATAATCAAAAAAATTTGCTGAGCTGACCTTTGACTGAGATTTTACTGTCACTGTTTGAATTTTGGGTAACATATGTGTGCTCCAGTTTCTTCCTTTGTTTATGCCTGTTTTTGATCCTCATGTCCATGTTACAAGAATTTGTCTCCAATGAATTATTTATTTTTTCTTCTTGGAACTTAAAAAATTCACAATCAATCCTTTTCGACAGCCCGAAAGTAAAGATTGATACAGCTTTCATAGCACATGAATTATATGACGGTCCACCCTCAAGGCCTGAACCACCGAGACATCTTATCCGCTACTGTGGCCTAGTGTTTTGACAGGGACCATTTGGACTGACCAACTCGTGAATTCAAATCCGGATACTTTCTTAGTACCTCCTTTGTCAATTGATTTAGCGAAATTTGTCAACTAACCTTTGACTTGGTGCTTGTTTAATTCTCTGATTTGCTTGGACGGTTTTTCAATAGTTGTTTTCTTTGTTTGATGTATGCAGAATATGCGTACACTCTAAAGGTGGACGAGAAGAGCGACGTCTACAGTTTCGGGGTGGTTCTATTAGAGCTAGTTAGCGGGAGGAGGCCGGTTGGAGAATTTGGGGACGGAGTGGACATAGTCCAGTGGGTGCGAAAGATGACGAACTCGAACAAGGAGGAGGTCCAGAAGATCCTCGATCTGAGGCTCCCGTCCGTTCCGCTCCACGAGGCCATGCACGTGTTCTACGTCGCGATGCTGTGCGTCGAGGAACAGGCGGTGGAGCGCCCCACGATGCGAGAGGTCGTCCAGATCCTGACGGAGCGCCCGAGGCCGCCGGGCTCGGCCAAGGGAGATGCGGTAGTGCCGCAGTCTTTGCCACCACAAGGCTCAGCACTCGAGTCTTCGGTGACGAAAGACGGGAAGGAGCAACAACAACCGGTGCCGCAATCGCCCCCGGTGGATCTTCTTAGCATTTGATCTGTTTTGCTGGGAGTGTTCTTTCTTTTACCTCTCTAGGTTTTCAATGAGTTGGGTTAGCATTTTCTTTCATAAATTTGTCTTATTTTTTCTGAATTTTTTTTCCTTTTTTGGGTGGTTGGGGGGGTGTTCTAACTTTAAGGAGTTCAAATGTTTGAAGTTCTTTCTTTTTTTTCTCTCTTTTGTACAGCAGGATTGATAAATTTTCTTTTCTTGATTTTATAAATTATGGTGCCTTGTCTTCATCAATCCTCTGTGTCCTGTTTCATGGCACAGTTTGTGAGTGCCGCCTCCTCTGCAGCAGAAACTGAGTTTTACAGAGGTGAACAACAAGGGTGAGTGATGGAGGAGCAGAGTCAGTACAGTAAGTTTTAAATTGGTGTTAGATGGCTCTTGAAAGGGACATCAATGGGTGAGTGCTGATCTACATACACATTTTGTTTATTGGGAGTGAGGCACTTTTAGGTTTTAAGTTTTAACAACCATGACTTTCCCAGTTTCTATTTTTCAGGGCTTTATACCAAGACTTTTAGGTTGTTTGGGGATGCCATTGGCTGGTTTCCAAGTTTATTCTAACTTGGTCTATTTTATATTTTGTCTTTTTGGTAAAACGGGACTATGTGTTTTCTGTAAGGGCCTACATGAATCGCAGTTGAACAGCAGGAGAGGCCAGTTGGTTAGCTAAGGTAGCAACCCTTCGCCTTTGGGCAGAAGCAAGAGAGGACATGATGGTCCTATTGTATTGGTCATTTAATTCTCCCACCACCACTGGCATTCCCCTTTGAGATGAAATTGGCCCGCTTGTTGGGTGAGGCATTTGATTTGGCTTTGGATACAAGACAAAACCATAAAATAATATATCTTAAAGAATGTAGATAATCTCTCTTTCCTTGATATCATAAGTAATTCCTTTTTCCATTGAGTGATGCGATAAGCTTTAGTTTTCATGGGTTATTCTTATACCAAAACCACAATTAAATCACTTTTCTTCTGACTGCTCTACATAAATCTCAAATTGGGTATTCTCAAGTTTGTATTTGATTCAACGTGGAATGCATTTTTGCAGAGGATAAATATTAGGTACACGACCACGCAATCTTTTTAGGCAAATCCTATATCTAAAACCGGTAACTTCGAGCGTGACATGACACGATAATTATTTCTTGAGAGTTTGTTAGTGTCACGAAAAATCGTTCGAAAGCAGTCCTATATCTTAGAGCACGACATCATTTGATTTCATGATTTAGGCAAGTTTGGTTCCATGCGTGAAGTGTGCTAAGTCCATGACAAAAATCTCGCGTCGTCCTCTTTTATTTTTGGGTTGTGTTTGTTAATATTTTCTGGTGGGTTTTGGGATTTGTATGGTGTATTCGACAATGACTTGACATAGGCAACTTGATTGATTGTGTGGGAGCCAGCAGCTTTCCCTCCAAAGATTTCAAGCCATTATTCAGTGAGAAAGGGGTGTGTATATATATATCAAAATGTATTTGGACCGTCAAATATAAAATGCCTATATATCAAAATGTATTTGGACCGTCAAATATGAAATGTCGCATCCATAAATGCGATGGATCTTAATCTTACCGCACCCGACAATATAGATGCATTTTGGAATATATAAGGGCCTACATGAATCGCAATTGAACAGCAAGAGAGGTCAGTTGGTTAGCTAAGGTAGCAACACTTTGCCCTAGGGCAGAAGCAGGAGAGGACATGGTCCAATTTGGTCATTTAATTCTCCCACCACCACTGCCTTTCCCTTTAAGATGAAATTGACCAGCTTGTTGGGGGTGAGGCATTTGATTTGGTTTAGGATTCAATAGATGACCATATGATATTTACATTATATCCTGAAGAATGTTGATAATCTCTCTTCCTTGATATCATTAGTAATTCCTTTTTTCCATTGAGTGATGTGATAAGCTTTGGTTTTCATGGGTTATTATTGTACCGAAAAAAGGCAATTAAACCACTTTTCTTCTGACTCCTCTTTTACATAAATCTCAAATTGGATATTCGCAAGTCCGTTTGTATTTGATTGAATGTGAAATGCATTTTCGCAAAGATTAAACGTTTGGTACACGACCGCGCAAATCTTTTATACACATCCGATGTCTAACACCATTGATATGAGTAATTTGAATATTAGCAAGTTACTACTATCAATGGTGTTAGATGCGGCATGTGTAGAAAAAATGTTACGCAGCCTGTGTGCCTAGTATTAGTCCTTTCGTAAATATGAAATACGGTACATGGATTGGTATTTTGTGCTACAATAGTGTACAATTATGTCACTTTAGGTTTGGTTTATCACCAAACTTGAAATTTTTTAACCAAACTTATGAAGATTTAAGTTTTAACAAAGTTTGGGACTTCCCTCATTTTAGGTTTTATATTGCAAAACGTCGAGTTAAATTGCACTTTTATTGTATCATGGGGGGATTTAACTTTCATCTTATCATGTAAATAGCACTACGCAATTTAGAATGGTAACACCTTTTCATCTCATTGGGAATTTAAAAATATAGTAAAAAAGCAGGAAAAATCTAAAATCGGGAGTTTTAAGCATGACATGATATGACACGACAATTATTTCATGGGAGTTTATTAGCGTCACGAAAAATCATTCGGATAGTCCTATATTTTAGAGCATGACATGATTTAGGCAAGTTTGGTTTCATGCGTGAAGCGTGTGCTTGGTCCATGACAAAAACCCCGCGTCGTCCTCTTTTTTTTGGTTGTGTTTGTTAATATTTTGTGGTGGGTTTTGGGGTTTGTATGGCGTGTTCGACAATGACTTGATTGATTTTAAGCCATTATTTAGTGAGAAAGATATGTGTATATATATATGTATGTGTATATATATATGTATGTATGCATGTATGTATTTGGACCGTCAAATATGAAATGTCGCATCTATAAATGTGATGAATCTTAATCTCATTGCACCCGACAATTTAGATGCATTTTGGAATATATACCAAACTCGTTGAATAATTTCTCAAAGTTTTGCCATATCTAATAAGCTCTTTTTTTCCACTAAAAAAAATAATAAGCTCTTTTTTTTTTATAAAAAAAAGGGTGGCGATTTCTGCAATAACAAATATCACAGTGAAATGTAGATTATTTTCCTTTGTGATGCTTGTTCATGAACAGATTTTCGGTTATTTCTATTTATTAAATTTCACGTCAAAAATAATACACTCAACGATGACGTGATGTTTTAGTCGTCCCCGGCCACCCTACATGGCACATTGCCACTTTAACAATTTATGGAGAAAATTGGGCTAAAGAATTGCATTGTCATTTCGCGCAAATATTTATGACTAAATTGATAAAAATTAAAAATTTTAGGACTCAATTGACATCCATACAAAAAGATTTAGGCTTGATTGGGAAATTTCCCAGCAAAAAATATGATGTGGAAAATCGATGCCAAAATAAAAGATCGATTTGGGCTTATCAAAGTATAGGATCGATAATCGATTATAAAATCAACCGGATTTTCAATAGGTTTTGTAAGTATAGTTTGTAATGTTAAAAGTATTTGGAACAAGTCCCACATCCTAAAGTTAATAGAAAGATAAAACTGTTATTGCTTAAGTGTGTGGGACTCACTGATGGTCTAAGAGCATTAAATGGGCTTACGTCATTATTCATCTTGACTAAGCACTTGGGCATCTTGGGCTTGAGTTTTGAACAAGTGTTCACTTTTTTTTTTTTTTTTGCAATCGTTACTTATTTTTACATCTATTGAATTCGAATTATGAACAATTACGGTTGTTAGTAGCCTAATTGCAGATAACAATTGGTGCATTCCATTTATTATAAATATTTTCTTTCGGACTTAATTTCTCTTGTTCCAATTTTCTTGTATATTTTGAGAGTTTTTGTAGGTTTCAATGTATCCCGAGGGCAATAGTTGCCTTTTAGAAAGTGACTACACGCTTCAATGGCCATGCCATAATTCAGTTTTCTATCTTGTCTCTAAAATTAACTTTTGGTCAGCCTAATCAACATGTTAGCTTCAACCGACCAAAATTAATGAAAGAATAAGTTTAATTCTTAATGTTATATTTACAAAAAATAAAATAATCCACCAAATCAAGAAAAAAACTTAGTCTGCATTATTTTGTGGAAGCAAAGCAAAAGTAGAAAAGTTGAAGGGAGACATAAAGTTGGTTTTTTTTCTCAAAAATGCCAAAAAACTTTTGCAGAAACTAGGTCGGAACGCACGACCCTGCGCGGGAGGTACCTGTGTTTGTCTTTAAACGAACAAAAATCCAACCCATCTTTTTCGGTGAAGCACATGAAATTCTCTGCTCTGGGTCGGTCCATTTTTCCAACTTTAACCTTGAAAAAGGGCATCCTGAAAATGACAAACATATTTGTGTGAGAAGTGGCACAAAAGTAATTTAAGGCAGCGGGATTATTTCTTTTTGATCGGTCCTATTTCTAACTCTTCTCACGTTCAGATTTATGCTCTGCCTTTTTGCAGAGCGTGAGAGTCGAACCCCGCACCTATAATACTATCGTCCCCACCTCCCAATCCCTTTACTAGTAAGGCCGCATGCTTATTGGTAGACAATGCGATTATTTCACGACTCATGAAATTGGTTGGATGCTCTCAGAAAATCAATTACTCAATTCCAAAACAACATAAAACTCATTTTTGCATATATCTCTTAGTGCCTGCATGCACATGATTTGGTTCACGTTTAGCTCTATCCATTTTCTAGTGTAAGCTGATCTCTTCGAAAGGGAAAAAACAAAAAAGATGACTACATTTTCATGAGGAACGAGTCCAACTCGTGATGGACTAAGGACGCGAATAATAACCATTGTATTTCTCTGTTTTTCTATTTTTTTGTTTCCAAGAATGGGGTTTGGGACAGAAATTCATTTGGCAACGCAATTTCATTTTTCTATTTTCGAAACAAATTTTTAGTCAAGGAATAGGTTTGGAACGACAATGAGAAGTAGAAATTTTCTACTTTTCCATAAATAGAAATAACAATTCTTCTCATAGCTTGCCCTTGCCGCCCATGCCCATTGGTCACCGGCCGCTGCCTCCTGTCGATCGCCTTTGCTTGCCGCTGTCACCTCCTCCTCCGCCGCCGCCCTCCACCCGCCGATGTACAAATTCTATATCGACGCTATCAAACGAATTTCTAATTCGGGAATAGAAATTTTGTGTCGTTATCAAACGTTACTTTTTTGCTCAGAAACTCATATGGGGAATAAAAATAGAAAAATTCATTTCTAACTGGAAACTGGGTCGGAGAACGAACTGATTATCATCCGTGCCCTAAATTACATCCAATACGAAACGTTCAGAATTTGATTACACAAAATAAAAAACTTAGCACTTGATTATACATTTGGAGAAACGTTTGGGACTATTGGTACAGTTTTCCTCTAAAAACCTAAAACGAGAATCTAGAATGCTAAGGAACCTAAATTTTCTAGAAAACAACAAATACCGGTTAATCAGATAAAAATTCTAGTTTGTTTCCCATCCTACATTAGTCTCTCCCATAAGTTCACTAGTTTAATAATTTCACCGGAAAAAAGAAAAGAAAGAATTAAACGAGACACAGATAAACGC